TATATATATAAACTATTTGTATATATACAACATGTGTTTTTAGTGTGGAATTATATTGGACTCCGATGTCTTAAACAAAGTTTGATATTTATGTATTGTGGAAAAAAAAAATACACGTAATTAGAAAGAAATATTTCATCAAAGATAATTAGTTAGATTTTTATCTAAAATTAGTAATTTTGTATAATTGATGAATACTTTTACCATTTTACACAAATAACAGTGAAAAAATAAATACATTTGTGTATATAGAGAATATAAAATATCTTTTGCTCGTGTATAAAAGATAAACAATAAACATTAATTAATGATATACGAGACAAATGTTTTCGGCCCAACAAAGCCCAAGACAAGTTGCTTTCACAATTTCATAATCATTTGTTATTTATATTTATATTATATTGAATAATAAATATAAATGTTTTTTTTTCCTTCTCTCCCATTATTATATTCCTATAGCTTTCAATTTATTATATGTTTATATTTTTCTCAATCCAGACTACAACGACAGTTTCGACAATATATAAACAGTTGGTCGAGTTGATTGAAAGATCTAATAAAACTATATATTAATAATACCTCAAAAAAAAAATCAAATTAAAATATCTCAAATGAGAGAGACAGAGAGAGGAGTTGACGGGATTTATTGATAGAATAGCCGCTGTTGAACTGTTAATTGTAATTTAAATATTTCTAAAATCATAATTACAATTTTTATATTAAAAGGTATGTTGTATGTAAATTTATTTTTCTTATATAAACCAAGCCTAAAATGAATCCGATTGAGACAAAATATAAAAAAAAAATGACATGAAAAACGAAACACATAAACTAATATGGATATTGTTCCGGCCAAAAGGTAGACTAGGGTTTTTTCCTAGATCGTGCCTCAGAGCCAGAGCATTCAAAAGTGTAATCTGTCGTCCTAGCTCTAGGTTTTTAAGTTTTATACTTTTGTGTTATGGGCTCCGTGGGCCCCGCGATTATCGGGATCTTCATGGCCGTTTCGATCTGGAAGGTGACTGGCGCGCGAGGATGGGGCCTGGCCGTTGGTTGGCCCTTCTCGGATAACGGCCGAGTAGGTCTCATTAAGGGTGAATGAGACCCTTGTATGGTGCTAGGCGAGATTGTCTTTCGGCTTGGCGGTAGATGGGCCTGCATTTGTCCCAACACGCCCTGTAGCCCTTAGCTTCCGAGAAGTTACTCGGTTTAGGGTGCTCCGCGGTTCTCGTTCAACGAGAAGGTACTCGGCCTACGGCTGGGACGGTCCAGATATATATTATCAGGATATTCAAGACTTCTCTATGTAATAACATACATTATATTCATATATTTTTTTGACATAAATTATATTAATGTTTTAATATATATTGTAAGAAATTAGAATACATAGTATATATAATCGCATATTATATATCTTTTACATGCATCCCGGCATGCGTGTGTAGATTACCTTGATAACATTAGTTGACAAGGGATGGCCACTTATGTTTTTTGTTACAAGATCACTGTCTTGGAACATTGAGATAATATAATCCATGGAGTGGGAGCCAAATATTTGCTTTTGAAATGTTGTTTATGAAACATTGTTTTTATTCGAAGGTAGCCATTGAAGTTGATGTGTGTAGGGAGTATTTGGCCACCGACTAATCACGTAGCATCGCCGTCCAAGGCTGCTAAATCTTCCACGTAGCGGGACGTGACGTCAGGCGTAGCGGTTGGTGACGTCATCTAGGCGCAGCCATGGGCGGTGGCGACCACCACACAGGACAGCATGCGAGTTTCAAAAAGAAATGGACGTGGACAGCACGTGATCTTGCCGTTTTCATTGGTGGGGGCAACCACTGATGGAGCGACGCGTGGATGGAACACTTGTTAAGGTAACCAACTTGGGAGGGTGACGTTGGGTGGTGGAAAAACGTTACACGTAGTACGTAGAGCTGACGTTTGTCACATGGGAATTGCTACGGTACCCTCAAAGATGGAGGGGTTCCAATACATTTTTCTATGTAAACTCATAAAAAATTTTAAAAAAATTAATTTAATTATAAAATGAATAATCCAAATTAACTTATAAAATAAAAATAAAATAAAATTATAGAGATTAAAATTATAAGTTTTCAATAATATTATAAAATATTAAAAAAAAAGAAAAAAATTAATAAATAGTAGAAATAAAAAGTTATTAAAATTACAATATAAAAATTCAAAATTTTAAGACAAAAAGACAAAAAATATACTTAAAAAATTATTAAAATTAAAATATAAAAATCCAAAAATTTTAAGTGAAAAGATAAAAATATATTTAAAAAATTATTAAAATTAAACTATTTAAATATATAATAATATTATTACAAATAAATTAGAATATATAAAATAAAAATAAAATTATACTTAAAAAATTATTAAAATTAAAATATAAAAATTCAAAGATTTTAAGTGAAAAGATAAAAATATACTTAAAAAATTATTAAAATTAAACTATTTAAATATATAATAATATTATTACAAATAAATTAAAATATATAAAATAAAAATAAAATAACTAAATAATTTAAAAATTAAAAGAATAAAATATCATAAATATTATTTAAATAAATTACTAAAAATATAAAATATAAAAAACTGTACCGGTACCCTCTCAAATAAGATGGGTACCATAGAATTTCTCTTGTCACATTGCATGCTTCTTGTTTTGGGCTACGACTCTCACCCACTCCTAAGTCCTAACTCATTCTTTGCTTTTTAATTTAATTAATAAATTATTGAAACTTGGAGAGTGAACAAGATTCATGCATGGGAACAGTGTATGAATCTGGTATCTCTTTATTACATACAGTACGTTTTATTTATTTAGTTGCATCAAGATATCTTTTGCTCAACATGCACAGTTTAGAAATCAAACTTTCAACGTGCTTAAAAAATTTAGCTACTGCTTCGAGCTGCGGCCTTTTGGGCTCGTTTAATGGACCCCAGGCCCAGTTTTCTTTAAGAAAATGTACGCTAAATTAATAATCCAAGTCTTGTCACGATGGAATGTTGTACATACAATTGTTTCAGTATCTATTTCAGAATTGTGGCTAAGTGGACTCAAACTCGAGTGTTTTATTAAAACATCTTGATTACAGGGGAAAATAATTGTCTTTTATTTTGAAATGCTCTGTATCTATTGGCTTCTTTATATGTTTACCCGTTGATTAATCACTACTTAAAAAGGTTAATTACTATTTACACTTATAGTTATCTCAATACATTTTGGTTTTAAAAATTTGTAGCAAATTATGTTTTTCATTAAAAATGTAAGGCTATAAATATAGATGCGGAATTCCACTAAGAAAATAATTAAGTCCCATGTTGTATATGACATAGTGTACCCTTCTTTCTGTTTTTTTGTGGTGAGTAGGGTCTTATTTCCTTTTTCTATGTTCTTAGAGCCAAGTACCCTAGAAAAATGGAAGAGACGTATGAACATGCGAATTTGTATGGATGCCAAAAGAGACTTTATTTAAAGTAAACTGGAAATAGAGAGACTGAGAGAGAGGAATTATTTATAGTCATCACATGAAGCATCCAGGTGACGCATGCATTGATGTAAGAAAGTTGAAACAGAGAAGAAAGGGTCTAGTTGGGAATGCGGAAATAGAGAGGGGTAGTGTTGCGAGGTTTAGGGGGTGAATCCCAAACTGAGAAAGCACTTTCACAGTTCATCCACTTTTGAGTCAATCCTGGGTAGTGTCGGTCTATGACATCTTTAAGGCTCTCTGTGCTATTCACCCATGCAAGTCCTGTCTTTGTGTACGTCTCTTCATTGTAGTGGCTTGTGAAGAATTTATCAGCTTCCAACCTCCTGCATCAACCCACATATAAACATATTTAAACAAATTATAGCATTTGTGCATGAGTTTAATTACCTGGTTGCCATGAGAAGGAAAATCACGAAGGCCGTCTCACTGATGGCGAACCCTTTGATCTTCTTCTCAGCCATCAGTCCCACAAGCAGATCAAGATCTTCAACATTATCATCACCATACACTTCTTTCAGAACTTCAACAGCTTCTTTATCATCCGTTAAATCTTCCCATTTTTCTATTGGCAATAGCAGCAATCCCCTCCTGAACTCGTTGTACCTAGCAACGTTCCTCTCCCTATCCCTATAAACTGCATATATATTCCATTCCATCAATACATGTATATAACATTATTAGCTTTTCCTTCTCCATTCCTTAATTGCACATATATATTACCTTCAAGAGCTGCAAGGTCGACATTGTGAGGCCTCTCTTTAGCATCCTCATCATGTACTACAAGATCCCTAAGCCATATGGGGTAATTCCAAAGTTCTAGGGCTCCACAAGCCTGATGACCCATTGATACCATCTGCTTCTCAAACCCAATTTTGTCCAAGGCCATTTCACCCTTGTGACCAATAAGGTCTTTCATAGGAACCCTGCAACATTATCGTTAATTAAGGAATCTAGCTAGTAGTTTTTGCATGCAGATGATCATGATCCTAAAATTAAGCATATATAATATATACTCTTGGAGCAACGGTGGCTGTTTGTTGGGTCCTGGACTAGCTGAGATGTCTCGGTACTGAAGAGAATCAGGAAGAAGGGAGTGCATTCTATAAACGCCAACAAATTCCTCGGTTAAAGAATAGGGGACACCGTAGTTAACAGGCTTCCTCATACCAACTAAACCTCCCAATATTGCTCCTCCAACGTGCCCGTATTGGTCCTTGAATTCCTTTCCTAACAATCCATACCTGAAATTAAGCAAAGTGAAAAATAGCAGAAGTTATTTATTTTAAATTTAAACTTTGGTGAATTTATTGAAAGTCCTCATCACCTCACACTAATGAAAAGTAATGTTGTAAGCATGTAAATAAATGACTGACCAGTTAGCACGCATGCCTGCAAGCATAGTGTCAGTTTTGAGGAGCTCAACAGTCCAGTCAATGGTGTGGACTTTTGCAATGACAGCCGAGACTACCAGCCTGCCATACCTATACAAATCTTCGTCGCTCAAGGATGGGTCCTCAGCCTAAAATTAACCATCGAGTATCAACAGCTTTAAAATCATGCATGTAATAAAATTTCAAAGCAAAAGATAAATTGGTTGAATAATGAGTATTGATATGAGTACCTTAATGGCATCACAAACAGCGTTGTGTTCTTTAATGAAAAGAGCCTGCAAGGTTGAGACACCAACCCAGCTATTACGTACATCACCGCAGATGGCAATGCCATCATCATCTCGGGCAAGAAGGCCATTTTCTGCGATCTTCAGTTTCCCATCTTGGTAGCTTCTCACTCTATCTTGTCTTTCCTTGTAGCTTCCGTATACCACACTTGCGTCCCTGAAAGTATATATATCATGCATGCATCATCACTAACTCACTCTATAAAATTAATGTATGGAAATAAGCCAATTAATGTTTACTACTTACCACCAAGAAGTACGAATATTCAAGTGGCCCTTCGGAATTCCAAAAAAACCGGTCGAAACTTCCTTTGTTTTGAGAAACTTGAAAGAACGAAGTGGACATTGGCTAGCAACCGATTCAGGAGCTGTAAGCTCATTCATCTATCCCATATTCAAACAATAAAACCAATTATCTATACATTCAATTCATCATAAATTCATTTCTTTTCATTTTAAAGGTCTTTTTAAGTTTTATAATCGTAAAAAAAAAATTCTATCAATCAACATTTTTTTAAAATTCAATATAAAAAGTATGTAAATATAAATGGAATAGACAATAAAGGCAATTTTAGGGGTAATACAAATTTAATTGATTTAATTAATTATTAAATTATACAATTTTATACTCAAGATTATGTATATCAAATTTTATATTATTTCAAAATTATTTAATAATTTTTACACTACAAAAATGTTTCAATTTAGAGTCTCCCAAAAGTCGACTCTAAATAATAAAAATCGACGTAATATTATATTTATTATTGGTCATTTATCGATTTTTAGGTGACTTAATTTAAATAAATTGATACATTTTTTTTTGTATTGGCTAAGAGACTCGAACCTAAAATCTTGATGTATTAAGTTAACTTGATAAACAATTGCATCACGACACAATATAAATATATAAGATTGAAAAAATTATCTTTATCTCTCTCAAAGCATGTATAGTATCGAAAAAACTAACATTATTCTTTAGATATAGCGTCGACTTTTTTGATGTTAAATTTAAATTGAGTTTAATGTTGGAAAAGCCGACACTATTCTTTAAATATAGTGTTGGCTTTTCTGACACTAACTTAATTTAAATTAGTGTTAAAAAAGTCGATGTTATGTGTAAAGAATAACGTCAGCTTTTTCGATACTAATTTAAATTAAGTTAATGTCAAAAAAATCGATATTATATTTAAAGAATAACGTTGACTTTTTCAAACTAAACTCAACTTAAATTTAGTGTCAAAAAAGTCGATAATATATTTTAAAATATCATTAACTTTTTCAACAGTATTTACGTCAACTATTAGCTGATATTTATCTTAGTGTTTTCTTGTAGTGTTATCATATTATTTTATTTTAATATATAATTTATTTAAAATATGTGTAAGTATCTATTTTTAGATAACGTATAAAAAAAAAGTTTAAATAATGTAAAACTTGACTTATATGATCTTGAATATAATATGACATAATTTAATAGTTAGATTGATTAAATTTAAATTTTTAAACTTACACTTAGTATTAACAGATTAAAAAAAACACGGTGGAACTAAAAATAAAAAAATATATAGAAAACAATTAATGTATAGAAGTATGGTAATTTGTTTGTATATAGTAATTTGAAATTTTGTTTTATTACGAAATTGGGATGATTTATATATGTATAGTGGTTAAAGTTACCTGGGAGGTTTCCTCAAGATGATCGACCCAATCATGTATCATAAACTGAATCCAAGAGGATGCTACGATGTTGAACTGCTTTCCTGTATCTTTGTAATTTCTACGAGCTAGAAGTTTAGTGGCAACCACGATGGGATCCGGTTTTAGGAGCTGGCCACGAAAAACACATGTTAAGTAGAAGAAGAAGGTGTGATCGAGATCGATAGTGAAAGAATGCAATGCAACGGTACCTTATCGTTCTGTGTAGAAGGTAACATATTTCTGCCAAAGAAAGTTTTATAGCCACCAGCACCTTGGAAGGGATCATTGTACGATCCATCCTGTTTCCGGTAAGGGTAGTCCTCTGGATTGTTCCTAACATTAACGGGATGTATCCCAACGTTGATCAAGTTGTATTGCTGATGAATGTGGCGTCGAGTGGCCAGGTAAATTAGCCCAAGTATCACTGGCATGCGATGCCACACTCCAAACCTGTCAATGTAGTGCACAACCTTTTCCATCGCAATTCATGTCATGCATCATTAATTATTAACTGCATCTATAACATTAGGAACACAAACAAAATCACCAGAATATACATATATTTACCAAAAATAAAAGGGTGTCGAGGAGGGTCATCTTAGCAATTGCTTCATGGAAGTCCTTGTGCACCAACACATTCAGGATTTTGGTCCAAATGGACTTCAACAGGAATAATATTTCTCGTAAGAACACCATTTCCTCTGCCACTTTTTCACAGTCTATCAGATTGTATGATGAGACTGATGATATCAACGTCGAATAACCTACACAGTATATATAAGCGCTTCAGAAATTTATGTAAACAAATGTTATCCAGAATCCAGAAAATCAATCATATGACCGAGAAAAACTCAAATCTCACGTCAATTAGATATAAGATAATTAAAAAATATATAAATAAAGAGTAATTCATATTTTATAAGTTGATTTTATAGAGTTAAGTTAAGCTTAAACATGTTATTTTAAGAGTATCTCAAAACCAATATAATTTGGATAAAGTTTTTCATTTGCATTTTACAGAATAAATATTTATTTTATAAAATTAAAGTATAAAATAAATAAATATTTTGAATCATATTAAAAATTTATTATGAATAAGTAAATTATATTTTAGATTTATAATAAATGTTTATCTTTGATTATTATGTTTTTAAGAGATACTAAAATTTAATTTAAATATAAAAGTGAAATAAAATCAATTAAAATAAATAAGTGATTAAAACTAAAAAGACTAATAAATACGTAAATATAAACAGAGATTATCTTAAATTTGTATTTGTAGGGAATATTTTAAACTGTATGAATAGGAAAATAAAAAATAAAAAATAAATAAAATACGTAATATATAAAATTCTTTATTTTTTTAATAATTATTTAATAACATGTCATCGTATATATCTGATAAATTTTTTACATTTTTAAGAAATATTTTAAAAGTTGTATCTAGAATAATTATACACACATATATATATATATATATTAAAATATATAATCATTTTGAAAAAATTAACAAAAATTTTTTTTAAAAATTATTATTCTATGATTATGTTTTGAGAAAAATAAGTGAAAGATTAAAATTATTACTATACCCTTTGAAATTGTAAATATATATATATATAATTATTATGTCTCCTTTTCATTAGAGTTATTTTATGTCTTTTTATAAACATTCTTCTATCTTTTCTACTATTTTTTCGATCTTAATTTGGAAAAAATCTACATTAGTGGAGATGGTTCATCTGAAGTAAGTAAATGATAATAGTCAATAAATTAATTTATAGTAAACAATTGAGATGATTTTGACTCAAATTACCTTATTGCCCTCACATAAAAATTTGGTTGGTTGATCTCATTACTGTCAGATATGTGTGATTTGAGATTACTGTTTATTGTTGTTGTTATACTTTATAAAACTCGTTCAAGCCCAATCATGGATAGATCTTCATTATTTGCATTGTTTTCAAAGTTGTTACGGATACAAATCATTTATCAGTTTAGATCGCGTTGTTTACCTCATTATTAGGGTTGTGCTTCTTTAGACTCAATGAAGCGATACATTCATGGTAACCACATATGTTATTTTATATTGTCGTCAACGAGGAGCTTGCTTGGGCATGGCCATGAACTTAACTTGTTTCTCCCTTTTTTATGTCAAATAATTATTAGTCACTTCAAATTATAAATATGTGAATCAATTAACATGAGATTGTTTAGTGTTCTCAAGTTCAAATTAATTTCAATGATATAATTATGCTAAATATCTACCGAATGTGCGTCCTACATCCTCAAAGAAAAGCATATACATGTGGTTTTTCAAAACCTAATTACGTGTGTTGTGTACGTGTCACTGAAACAAATTCCAAGAAATATGCGTGTCTTGAAATACTGTACTCATATTTAATGGTGTCATGAAATAATTGCATTGCGATATGATATATGCATGTGGGTTAAATTACATTTGATTTTTTCAGCAATGGAATCGACAACAACATCACGCTTTGCGACGAAATTGTAAACATAAGATTTTATCTTTTCTACGAATAAAAAACTAGGGTATCTGCTTTGTCAGCAAAGATTTGTGCTAAATTCGGTGATAAGAGCATCTGCAATATAAACAATCCATGTACCACATCACTACTACGTTAACTCTGGTTTATTTTATAGATTGTTTAAATTTTAGCAAAATTGTTTACAAGAAATTTTGCTAAAATTTAAGCAACCCATAAAATAAATAAAGTTAATATAGCAATGATGTGACATAAGTAACCCCGTTGAAAAATGCTCTAAGTAATTCACTAACTTCAGTTCTCTGTTTGGTTGATACTATAGTGGCAAAATGTTAGTGTCTGATGTTGAAGTGTTAAACAAGTATTGGGCCAGAAAACGGTGCCCAAAACGAAGTGTGTAAAACATTGGGCCCATATGATTTGTCCATTATGCATGTGTCTTAAGCCGTGTCAATCTCTCAATCTCATCCGTGAGACTCTGTACTGACATGATCATGATCATGATCTTAAGATCTTTCCACACCGATTCACAGTAACTTAATTTCGCTTTTTCTCAGAGGAAAAATAAAATTCAAAAGGCAAAAATACTATTTTGGTCATTTATAATATTTTAAATTTTAAATTTACTCTCACCTTAATTTTTTTTTCAATTTAGTTCCTAATACGTTAAATCACTGCAATGTTGAATCTTCCGTCTAAATTTCTTAAATAGCATTAACTGTTGGCTACGTGGATGCCACGTAGATGCATAGGTAGTAAGGTCTCACGTCATCCTCCTCCTCCTTCTTTAATGCACCTGGAACGGCCCATTTTGAAACCAGAACGGGCCGTTCTAGTTTCAGAACGGACCATTCTGGTCTCAGAACACCAACACCAAACGGTCAATGATTATAATTCACGTGCGCCCGTGATTTTAAATCACGATTGTGAATTGTTCAAGGAAAAAAAGCTCAAGGTACAAAACATTTCAAACACTGAATTTGGTAATATTATCAATAAGGGATTGATAACTTTAATTGTTAAACATTTGGGTTATACACCATTTTATGGACCAATTGTATAGAAACTCCTGGAAGTATTAATTATAATACTTGTTATGCAATGCAGTGTATCACTAAGGACACTAAGGACAATGGTGACAGGTTGTATTTCATTGTTAGTCGTGAATCACTTAGTACCAAATTGACACTATACAATCAAGGATGAAACAAGTCAAACAACATGGTTTTATTTTCCTCCTCAGTAATTTATATGAACTTTCTTATTATATGTTATGTTATGAATTTTTATTTGTAGTCTCTCAACCTTATTTCAGTCTTTGAATTTATGTTATATTATAAATTTTTGTTTTCAATCTCTGAATCACATTACTGCATTTTGTTGAACATATGTTGGCTTTCTAGAACGGCCCGTTCTGAATCTATAACGGTCCGTTCTGGAACAAGAACGGGTCATTCTGATTTCAGAACGGGCCGTTCAGCTTACACTCGTTGTGTGTTAAATGCGGCATCTGGAATGACTCATTCTAGATGCAAAATTAACAAAGAAATAATGCACGCAAAACGATCCGTTCTGGTTTCAGAACAGGTCATTTCAGATGCATTAAAGAAGGAGGAGGAGGATGATGTGGGACCTTGCTACCTATGCATCTACGTGGCTTTCACGTGGCCAAAAGTTAACTCTGTTTAAAAAATTTGGACAAAAAATTTGACATTGCAATGATTTAACTTATTGGGAACCAAATTGAAACAAAAAATTAAAGTGAAATTAAATTAAAAATTTAAAATATTATAAAGAACTAAAATAATATTTTTGCCAATTCAAAAAATTTAATACTGCTCAAGAGGAGCACAAGAGGAGAATTCATGAAAATATTACATTCAAATTCTGCTCAAAACACGTCTTTACGAGTAGCAGGATTCAACCCCTGCCAAATGGTAAGCACTTCGATGCAGACAAAATTATGAAATGATATTTCAGTGACTTTTACTTGCATCAATATTATAAGTTAGATAGGCTGGTTTGCAACAGAGTAAATAAAAAAAAATAACGATGATAACTCGTTTTATTTTAGACTAATTAATTTTTGTAATATATATGTCAACGCTTAGTTTGTCCAAATCACTTCAAAAATAATAATGCAAAAGAATCTGTTATCTAAATTTGTTTAATATTTTTTTAAAGACATAAAGGGTCATTTGATTTATAAAAAAGATGGTAGTAAACAATACAAATATAATTATTTCTTATTTGATTAAAAGAATCATAAGAGAACACAAATTAAGAAAAGATGGACCCACAAGTTATTGATGTTGGGACTATGGATTTGATTTTCTTAAATAAAGTCTCGAGCTCAAATTTTATATATGAAAAGATGAGCCACCATTCAAAGTGATTAATAAACCAATATTTCGTAGTTTGTATATAAAAAAAAGTAGGTTAAATTATTTTTTTAATTGTTTTATTTTTGTTGATCCGAAATTTTGGTCTCTTTTTTAATATAGATATATTTAGTCTTTCTAATTTTAATATAAAATTTTGATCTTTTCATCAAATTAACATCTAATAAGCGTTAAATTTTAATGTTTATTCATATTTAAGTAATATAATATTTAATAATATAACACTAAAAAACAAAAAAATTAAAAAATATACAAATAAAATTTTTATTAATATAATAAATATTAATCACTTGTAAAAGTATATATATATGAAAATCTTTTATATATTATTTTTTATTTTTACTCTTATACATCGCGTCGCATCACTAAATATTATATCACTTAACTAATAACAAATTACTAAATAATGTCAAAATTTAATAATGAACGAATATCAAATTGATGAAAATACTAAAATTCCTTATTTTAAAAAATAGCGAGACTAAATGTCTTATTTTAAAATAGAGACACAAAAATACTATTTAGCCAAAAAATAAACATAAAATAATTTTAAGAAAAAAAATTGAAAAAGTCAATACATACCCATACATAAATATTAAATGTGATGGATAAAATTAGTGAATATTTTGAACATAAAAAATTAAGAGAATATGAACAATATAAAAATTTAACATTTTGTTACTTAATAAATATAGAATAATTTTACATATAAAAAAATATTTAAAAGACGTAAAATAGACAAACATATTATCATTTAATAATTATAGATCTTTTTTACATTGTTATCATAATCATTATTTTTCCAATTATACCTTTACTAAATTAAAATAATTAATAATATTAAATGTATTTCTTGCATTGTTCTTTGTATCAAATGTAACTTC